ACAGAATCAACTCTGACACAAGAAAAAAAGAAACCCAAAAGGAAGAAAAAATTTGCATTTCATGAAAAGAATTTCCTTCATACTGTATATGTTGTGTTTTTATGAATTCATGCATGCGTGATGTATTGCGAAAATATTTTCCAGCTGTAGTATTTTTTCATAACAAAATAAATCCACATCCAAGGAGAAAAAATCTAAAACTTTGTTGTGTGTTTTCTGGTGCAAATAATAATTAAAAATATTTCTTTTTTACATAATTGCTAAACGTTTTTCCTTTTGCTAGCAATCTTAAGGGAATTTAAAACATGATAAAATTTTTGTTCAGTAACAATTGTATTTGTTCCATTTAAATGAGTATAACAGAAAAGTTTTCTGTATCGTTCTGTTGGGAGTGAATGAGTTTTGGATAGTTATCTCTCTCTAATATTAAGCGTGGATTTTAGGCGGTGGAAATTGATGAATTCTAGGTGCATTAGGGTGGATTTTAATGAACTGACATTTAAGAAGCTATTGAGGTATTAAGGAATGCAGTTGAAGCTTTAAAGGATGCAATTTAATGGTTTAGATAAGGAAATTGTAAATCATGACAGTATTGCATTTAAGAATGGAAATTTACAGTCGATAACCAGCGATAGAACCAGCTTTAGGTGCTAGTAATATTGACCAAGGGTCATAATTGAGTTGTACGATCATCGAGGTACTTTAATTATGAAGGAAAAATGAGTTGATTATGAAATGAAGTTACTTTAATGTAGCCATGAAGATAAGCTGGGTCTAAAGCTATGATTTTAAGGGCTACAAAATTCTATAGTTCAAACAACCCTAATCAGGGGCGTAGCCAGGGGGGGGGGGGGCATAGGGGGCCCGGGCCCCCCCTACGAAAATCTGATAATTGTTTTATTAAGCATTTATAGAGAAAAACCAGTTAATGTAGAGGAAGTGATGAAAGAAATGTCAAAATCAGCACGAAAAATTAAATTTAATGTATGAAGATTGAATTAAATATTTAAACTTATGAAGAATGAATATAGATTTAAGGATACAAAATAACGTTTTTTTTTAATTTTCGAAAATGGGCCCCCCCCCCCCCCTTAAAAATTTTCTGGCTACGCCCCTGACCCTAATGAACCTGAAATTCAAAAATTTCGCAGAACAGCTTCAAATTTATCCAGCAAAAATCCACGCTAAGATTCAAAAAATATTTTTTCCATACCGAAAGGCTATCCGTAATTTGATTCTGATGCATAGAGAGAGATATACGAGATGAGAATATTGTCCACAATAGTTAGAGTAAAATGTATTTTAAAGCAATTAAAAAGTAATTTCGGTTAGTTTATGCAATTTAACATCAAATGACTGTAAATTTTTCTGCAGTAGAATTAATGACTGAAGTTATTGAAACGAGCAATAAATGTTCAGAATTAAAAAAACACAACATCAATACAAGATAGGAGCTGCTGTTATTATTATTGCCTTGTTATACTTTATTTTTTTTTCTTCCATTCTTGCTTCACAAATGTTTCACATTCTTTTCATAATCATCACAAAAACAACAACAAAAATTATTATGAATCTACATAAATTGTCACATGCTGAATTGACTTAAGACTCTCATTATTTCTTGAGTATTTAATATTATTAAATATTGTTGAATACAAACAAAGAAAAATTCATAAAATGCACAGTAATAAATTTTTTTCACAAACATCAAAAAATGAACATTTTTAATTATAAAATTCCCATTAATTTTCCCCAAAAATGTCTTTCATTAACAGAACAAAAATAAAAAAAAATTATAAAATAATAACATTGAGATGAAGAAGACTGAAAAATTCAAAAATTTAATTTAACCTTTACAAATTGCTTTTCACTTCCATTTAAATTAAGGCACATCACGAGAGCGACGGCGGAAAATTCTTTTCTCAAAAAAAAAAAAAAACTTTTCTATGCTTAATTCATTCATTAGATACTTAAGGGCAATGTATCGAGATGCCGCTGGCGCTTGTTGATGATGAGAAAAAAATGTCTCCTTCTAATTAATGGATTGGAATTTTTCCTTGACAAAATTCTTTCTCCTTAACTTGTTATTTCGGAATTTTAAAGACATTTTCTAAATTGTTTGTTTCTGGAGCTAAGTGGGATGTCTTGTTAGTGATTGAAATGAGCTAGAAGAATGCGCATTGAATATCTATTTCTTGAATCTATGTCACAAACTTACTCGACTGGCCTTCAGATCTTGGTATTTGGGAGAACATATACCACAAAAAGTAGATATCTTAGGGACACATACAACTAGCCCGAATGGCACAACTCGGTTAATCTATCAGAAATCTGGCACCTAGCCGGTGTGACTCTCGCATGGTGATTGATATATAGAAGTCAGCACCATCCCAGAGTCATGCCAGCTTGGCAAAGGATTTCTATTGATTAACCGACTTGTGCTGTTTGGGTAGGCTTTCTCTAAGTCCCTATATGAGCCATACTCAATGTTTTATCCTGAATTAGGCGCTAGACATTCAAACTTATTAACCAAGTGAACTGTATCTTAAATGTATATAAGAAATCCCTTACAATATTATTTGAACATACAATATATTATGAAATATCATGTAAAATATTCAAACATCCCGAAACGCTTGCCAGCACAACATCTCTTCCCCTTAAAACAAAATCTAGACAGAAACAAATGATGAAAATATTCAAATTTCATGCAAATTCAGATATTGTTTGCTAGTGACGAACTGTAAAATTGCCAAAATTATGTCAAGATTTTTCAGTTTCTAAGGTTAAAAAACTGTATCTATGGCCAAAACAAATGTCCTGATGATGAATATTTCCTGAATGTTCAAACCAATTGTCTGAAGATAAATAAAAGAAAAAGTCACACACATGAGAAATAATATTTGTCGAAAATGTTGAAATGAAATCATGCAAAAAATTTTCTTTTCCTGAGAGGAATTGAGAAGAAAAGTCTAAAGATTCTTTTTTTTTTGTGCTTGCGTCATCGCCGATAAATCTTAACTTTTCTCATATCGAGATGTATTCAAAAAAAAAATTTTTTTGTTTTGTTATGCAATTCAATCAAGTATGTTCATCCATAAATCCACTTTTAATATTTGCGTCATGCTTGTTCTTAGAAGTTTAGGTATAAAATCAATATCCCGAGTGATACACAAGCAATGGAGTCGCTCTAATCGTCTCTTGTTCTCAATTTAATTGATAATAGTTGCTGGTTAATTAATTGCTAAGTGTTTATGACTAGGAACTTAGTTTATATTGAGCAGAAATACTAGTAAGCTATCGGTGATCCCTAATAATCAATTCTTATGATCTGAATTCAATTTCTGTAATGAATCAATAATAAACGATGACATGCCTATCATGTATTAACCCCATGACAATTTTTGCAGCTGATTCTGACTAGCTTCAATGATTTTTTGAATTTTTCAGTTCACTTCTGGTTATTTCTTATTTTCATTCAAAGAGCAGTCGAGTAAATAATAAAAACTTAATCCAGCCATAAAATTTATTTTGTGTTTGATAACAAAAAATGCGGTGCTCTATTAAATAATGTCTAGAAATCTAATAATACTATGTATGTTACTGTGCTGCAGAGTTGGAAAGACTCGAATTGAATTTTTTATTTTTTTAAAATTTGATTTCAAAGTTTAATTTTTTTGCCAAAGTTTGAACTCAAATTTTGGAAAAATCAATGCAAGAGCTTCAGCTATTCCAACCCTGCCTTAAAAAACACAACTTTTATTGCAAAAAATTTACTCTCGCTTGCTCCTTGAAGAAAAAAAAAAACAGTTTAAATCATCATTTTGATATTTTTAGTTCACAACAGAAATTTCTGTTTGGTTTCACAAAGTTTCTTATTCGTTTTGTAATTTTATCCATCTTAATCCTCACAGAAAGTATTTTCACAACAAATATTTTTTCTTTCAATTCTTGCATTCACAATGTGGTGGGATAAGACAAATATGCAACAACAACAATTTTTAAGGATCTTGGGAGATATTATAACTTTTGATAACAATAAATTTTTGATAAATATTTTTATGACTCAGGCATAAAACTATTAGGTCTACTCGAAGAAAATTGCTTGGTTGTGGATTTAGAAGCTGACTGTTGATTTTTCGGGGATATGAAATTATTTTCAGTTGATAGTAGGAATTATGGTGTTGTGGGTAGGTTTTGGGAGGTATTGGAGTTTTATTGAGGTAGACTTAATGTCATGAGCGATGATTTTCTGCTTTGGAATTTCAGCAACTCACAGGAAACAATTTTTCTTGAGTCTTTGGTTAATCTTTGGTGTCGTACTTTCCGATGTACATTAACAGATATCTCACAAATATTATTTTAAGATACATTTGCTAAGTTTCAATTCGAGTGATGCATGCTTTTGTATGAACCGTAAGTAAGTTGAATATTATTATGATTTAATCGAATTCCTTGATTTCGATCCTAGAATTTGTGATTTTCAGAACACCTTTATGAAGAATTCCAATTAAGTACCACAGTTTTAAATAATTGCTAGCTTTTAGTCATAAAGTTGATTGTTGTCGTCATAAAGTCGTATTTTTTTCTAATTTGCGAGATTTATAGGATAGGTTTTTGGGAACTGGATACACAGGATATAAAGTAAGGGATAAATTGACCCAAAAAGAAAATGATTGAAGGATATTAAAGGAGCATGCAGATAGTATATGAATTCTTGGTGACCCAAGGATCATGAAGACATCAACAAAAAAATCCTCTCATATCCACCATAATCCACAGCAAACAATAATCTCCATCCAAGATTAATTTTTTTTATCCAATTAAATTAATAAATTTTACAACATTAAATAATAATAAATCAAATGCACGTTAAGTAAAATATTATTATGGGGAGAATTTAGAGTTTGCTGTTAAGAAATGCTTTCCAATGTAAAATCCGCAAATGCACAAGGCAACACCAATCAAGCCGAGATACAATGGTTTTTTCAACGACTCACCACTTTCAACGGAATTTTTACTTTGGACAATTTCCTGCTCACAATATTCAATAAATTCTTGAAAATGCACTGGAAAGTTTTCCTTATTATCATCAGCATGAAAAACTTTCTTCTTTTTCTTTTTCATGATGCCATTTTCAGTCTCATTGCCATCGTTAAGCAATGATTCAGTACTGGCATCTAAATTATCATCAAGTGGAAGAGATAAGCGCTTTTGTCGTTCTTTGACTCTCGCAAGAAATTCATCATTCAACGGAACTATTCTTTCACTAGCTGCCCGCTCTCGTGGTCTTTGTGGTGGTTCACTATAAGAATTATCGCAATTATTATCATTTATGCTCGTTATTTTGAGCATTTTCTGTAATTTTCGTTCAGTACGCTCGTAGACTTTATCTTGCCACTCATTATAAATTTCCTGGTGCAATTTTTCATTTGAATTAATGAAGTCGTTGAAGTCATCGTTTACATACTTGTTCACATTATTATTATTATTATTATTTAAATTATTCGTATTAGTATTATTACTGTCACTGCTGGAACTCGAGTGGCTCTCAATAATTGTTGTTTGACTTTCATTCTTCATTCGTTCCTCGTCGTCCAATTTTTTCTGTTGATATAAGAATTCTTCACGTTTAAAATGCTGTAATGACTGAATGTTCTTCAATTCCTCTTCAAGTTCTTTCCTTTCGCAATCGAGTCTCCTCAATTCATTTTCCAATTCATATTTATTCACTTGAAATCCTTCTTTGCCTTCGATATTATTATTATCATCGCTAGCATCATCAACATCACGAATAGCCGCAGATTCGCGTAAAATTAAATTTCTTATTGCATTCATTGTATCAATTTCAGTGTTAGGTTTATCGACTAGATTATTATCATCACTTATTTTATCACCATCACCATCACGATTTGATTTTATTGCACATTCATTATTGCTACTGCTGTTCTTCGATAGATTTGAATCTTCCAACTGATCCGGTGAACTTATTGAAATATTTACAATTCGCGATGTGTCGTTGCTATTTCTGCCGTTGATCTCGTCATCCAAAACACGACACATGTCTTCTTCATGATACGCACGACGTTCGACAAATTTCTTATGCATATCTAATAATACATCGGCACTTGTCGTGGCGCTGTTGGAATCTTGTGAATTCTTATTCATATAATCTTTTTGTAATGGCGATAAAGCGACCATTAAATTGGGCATTTGTGATGACTGCATTCCGAACCATCGTTCCTTTTCATCGACCATACTGCCACTGCCACATGATTGATTATTATTGTTGCACGAATTCATTTCTGGAGGCACTTGTAAGATTGTTATGACTTTATCTCTCGATTTCGTTACATTCTCACGACACTGAAGGTCATTATTATCGCATTCATAATGCAATTCAAGTTCATTTATAATTGGTATGCTTGGCGCATTTCGCGATAAGCTATTGAGTTTCTTATGTATGGTTATTTTACCTTCATTTTCATTCGAGGTGTTATTAATCGATTGCATGCATAAATCTTTTAGTGCATGAACATTATCAATGGATACGATTTGCCGAATAATTGTACATTGACTGTTCGATGATGACGTTGACGAATCGGAGGAATATTTACGGCGTATTTGTGTCGGTGTTGGTGTTCCACTTTTCGATTCAGCTTTCGGAATTATATTTTGTTCATGTTCCTTTTCATTAATTAGTTTTTTATCGGAATCACATGTGATAACAGTAATAGTTTCATCGCATACATTCTCACTGTTGCTGTTGCTTTGGCTTCTTTTTCTTTCAATTCTTTTACGCTCGTATTTATTCTCCTCATTTCCGAGACTACTGACAAGATGATGTAATTCTTTATTTACATCTTCTATTTGTTGCTGACTCTCAATTATATCGAGAATGGAACGAGCTTGCTGCTCCTCATCCTCTTCTTCAAGTATGTCAGGTAGTTTTTGTTGCTCATTAATCTCTTGATAATAATCTGACGACTGTAGTTGTTGATATTGTATTCTGCTGATATTATTATTGCTGTTGGCAGTAGTAGCAACGTCATCAATTACATGCTCATGTTTCTTATGTTCTTTCTCATTTTCCTCATCATTCATCTCAATAGAATTAACATTGTATAATGAAGGCACGGAGATGTTTTCGAGTAATGAATTAGTTTCTGTATCTTCTGATGTATCTTCCTCCACATCTTCTGTGTCCGTGTTGTTACTTCTTTCGCTGAGATCTGTAGCGCTGCTTGAGGTTGATGTGAGATAAACTAATTCAGCTTGTAGTTCACTATCGCTTTGTTTTGTTTCCCATGACTTACAACTCTCTTGTACATTTGATTCTGCCTCAATTATTTTTGTATTAATCAATTGTGGCTGCTCAAGAATGCCTCTTGTCGCTCTTTGTTTCTGCAACGTTTGTAATATTCTCTGTCTATGATATTTGGCATCATTTGGTACGGTCGTTGGCAAAAACACATCATCATCCTCATCCTCATCATAATCATCAATTGCTTGGGTTATGCCTTTTGTTTTATTATTGTTATTATCATTGGATATGATGTCATGCAATTTTGATGCCGAATTTTGTCTCTCAATATCACTACAATCACTACCTTCTTCGGATATCACATCTAAAGGAGTATTTGGTATTTGCAATAGATTACTATTACCATATAATGCTTCAATTATCGCCTCTTCGGCTTTGTTGAGTTTCTTCTCTGATTTACATTCGAATAACTTTACTTTTGTTGTTTCTGGAGCTGTTGAGGCTGTTGGAGATGTTGGAATTGCTCCATTTGTTGTCAATATCTTATTATTGTCATTATTATTGTTATGATTATTGTCACTGTTATTTTCCGATGGAAGCTCTTTTATATTTATTACTTTACTCGACACGATTGTTATGCTCGTCGTCTCACACTCAACGTGTGCGGGTTGCTTTGACATTGAGTCTAAAATTTCATTTTTCACACTTTCATTCGAGCTACTTTCAACGATTTCTTGTACAATAATTTGCTGTGGCTCAACATCTATAACATTTTTATTGCAATCATCTGAGCTTGCAGGTGAATCGACAAGATACTCTTTGGGTGATTCAATTTTCATTATTTTCGAATTTATTGATTCAATTGCACATGCCTCATTGTCTAGATATTGCTTCACCTCCTCCGATGAACTACTCTCACTAATTTCCTGTATCAGCATTGCATGCCGCTTTGTCATTTGAGTATTTTGAGAATTTTCTACAACACCAGCACTGATATGTGGAGAGGAAATTTGTTTCGGTGATTCAACTCGGTAATTGTCATCGAATCTTTTCTTTATCTGCTGCTGAGGTTCATTTGCTTCATCTTCCTTAAAATGATCTAATTTTGGCATCGTACCAAGTTCTTCTTTCTCACTTTCATGCTCATCTTTAAATTTATTTTGATTATTTTCTACGTTATCATGCGCCATGCTCTCATTCCCTTCAATCTCTTCTTCGTCTATTTCTTCGAGTTTCTTTTGATTTTTTGGAGCAGCATCTATCGGAACAGCAGCAATGTTGCGTGTTTCTTTTGGAATCTCTCCAATAAATTGAATAACTTTTAATTTTATTGTCGCTATTTGATTTCCACTAGCACCACGAAATGTTTGTACCGTAAATGCATTACTACTATTATTTAAATTCGGCTCACTACACCATCGTAATGTTCTCGATGGCATTGACAGCGATGGATCACACGACATTGTTCCACCCATTTTGGTAACATTCGTTTCCGCCAAATTCGCTAATTCTAGTTGACCGATTGTTGAGTCATTCGTAACTGACTGCGTACTGGCATGAACGGAAGATTTTTGCATTCGAAAATCCATTTCCTCTTCTTGCTGATTGTTTTCTTCTGATTCACTTTCTTTTTGTTGTTTCTGTTGCACATCATCATCTTGTTTAGATGCATTTTCCTCCTCTAATTTTGCCGATTTATTTTTGTTACTCTTACCGCCAAAGAATTTTCGCTTATTTTTTTTAGGCGGCATCTGATATTGTGTCTTACTAGAATTTTTGGATCTTATTGTCTCTGTGCATCCGCTGTTCCTCAATTACATAAAATGACTGAAGAAGTGAGTGTTTACACAGTGAAACAAAAAACAGTAATGATGATGATATATATTTTTTTTGAGTGTGAAATTGAGAAAAATAAAATAATAAGAATATACGAGTAAACAATTACAGCCAAAGAAATAAAAAAAAAATGTCTTACAATATTTTTTTTTCGGTAAATTCTCTCTTCACCGTGTGGCTTGAGGTGTGTGTTCTTATTATTATTTAGCGACCGTTTCGGATATGAAAAAAATAACAAATACTTCTTGTTCTTTTTGTCCACTCGCCGCTTCAATTTATTAGTACACGTTAATACACATACGTTTAACAAATAATGTGTGTTATGTGTGAATGAAGAGAAGGAGAAGTGAAGTGTACGAGAATTATAGAAAATAATAAAATAGAATTTATGTGACGTGCTGCCGCAAAAAGAAAATATTAAAAAAAAATATATAAATAAATAAAAAATAAATTTTTCCTCACATCGTATCAAAAAAATTACTTATGAGAGAAATAGATGAAACTTGTGTGCTCTCTCGTTCGTTCGTACTCGTTGACTGGCCTAATAGAAAATGCAATAAACGTAGCAAATGCAATAAACGTAGCAAATGCTTAAAACTTGTGCCTCGCATATTTTTTTTTCAAAATAAAAAAAGAGACATTTTCCTTCGTATTTTTTTTTCACCGTCTCAGAGTTGGCATGAAAGTGCCGGTACGACTTTGATGACAATTTACGCTTGACATGAAAGTTAATTTGCTTGTTTGGCATGTGAGTTGTTGAATCATAGTGATGTTTAAGGATTGGCGTGAGAATAAATATAGACTTGAAGTTTATGTCAAGATTTGTTTGCTACTTTAAGTGATGTGGACTATTTTCATATAGTTCATTGCTTGAAGATTTAGTTCAACTCAGGATTCGATGTTGTCAAGCCAACAAAATTTCAAAATATACTTTGATATTCCTAAACCAACCCCAACCCTGTTTTCCTTAAAATTATCGAATATTCTTCTTCTTCCCTCAAGTCTTTTGTCGTTCATTCATTTTCTTGCTTGATAAAAAAAAAGTCTCAATATAATCTCTTCCGACGTCATATCACTTTGTATGTGTGGATTGTACTTAAATAAAATTAGTTTGTGTTCAGGTATTGCTTAGGCAGTGAAGTCGAATTAACGCAATAAAACTTGAGAAATCAAAAATCATTGATAATGTAAAGCACGTAATCGAAAATTGACGCCTATAAAATGTTCCTATAATCATCATCAGATGCTAGAAATCTTGATTGCGATTAAATTTATTTTTAGAGTTTTCAGCCCTAAGCTATGATATAGCGTAAATAGATAACGATTAAAACATATGACTTGATAATTTTATGGCTGAACTTTTTAGATAAAAGTATTTTTAAAGCCTAAATCTACTATCTACACTACGTTACGTAACAACATAAATCAGCTGTATTAATCGATTGAAATTGAGACTGTTGAACTTATTCTACCAATATTTGTAATCAGAGATCTCTGATGCTGATGTTGTAGATTCTTATTATTTCCATGAAATTAAAATTAATTTTGAAATTGCGAACAAAAAGCTTGAAGCATTGGAATTTAATTTTGAAGTGTCATCTTACTTTTGATGCCAATTCTTTGAAAATTTTAATGAAATTTTTGAAAAAAAACTGGAATGTTCACTAGATGAGATACCTAGAACTGTACATGTGGTATCATCCTATGCTAGTTGATGACAATAGACAATTTAGGTTAATTTTTTCCAAGAAATTAAAGGAATTGCAGAAACGATAGAAATATAATGTGTAGGACAATCAATTAGATGAATGTTGGGCTTCATGCCAATGTGTTTGATTTTGTATTCTTGTTGGATGTGCACATAATAGGTTAGTTGGTCAAAAGAGCAAATTCTGGAACAATACTGGATGATGAACTTAATTCAGATTTGAAACTGAGGTTATTCACGAAATGAGGTTAAGTTAGAACTAGACTTGATCAACAATTCTTTTGAGGACCGAAATATGTATTGCATGTAGCCAAGAGATGCTTGTCTCTTAAATTTCACAAGAAAGCCTCACTTATGCTCAATATCATCCAAACAATAATGAAATTCAATTTAATGTAAACATCATTACAGCTTTACTCAAACATCCAAACAAGCATCAATGCTCTTCGCTTATTTGCCGCCACTTAAAATTCAATTTCTTTTCTTCTTATTTGCAATTATCGTTTGGCACCACTTAAATCAGCTTCACTATTGCTCTTCTCTCACATATTTTTTTATTTTATACTTTACATGTCAAAAGCAGTGAGCGAGAGATATGTGATGATGCATTGATGTCAGTCTATTTATAAGTTTCTGACTAATTGTTTATTAGCAAAAATTTTTCATCATCTTTTGTTGAAAATTACAGCAAAAAGATCAATAAATTTCATAATATGACAACAAAGAATGAAGGAATAAGAGGAAAAATCAGATGAAGCCGAATGTAAACATTCCGACTGTCTTCCTAATTATACACACATGACTGTTATTGTATGTATTAAATTTCTGAATTCTGATAGCTTTTTTCTTGTGAATTAAGTGTTGTTTGCCATCATCATCAGCATACTCATGTGATAAAAACAAGAAATTTGTCTCATTGTTTATTTTGAAAAGGAGACACAAAAAGAAGACATAAAGCATTTGACAATTTTTTGACATTTGCATATCACAGATGTGAGTTTTGTGTACGAATTGAGTAGCTAGCATGTTTAGGCAAATTGTCAAATTTTTGTAGCTGATCAAGTTTCATTGTTGAATGTGAACTTTTGGCCTGTTGATTCTTATCACAAAAATCCCAAGGTCAATACAAAAAAATCAAACAAAATTGCTGTCCAATTTTGATAATTTCGTATATCCAATTGAGATCAAAGTCGCTTTTGCACTATGGGGCAAAATGAAAAAAAAAGGGACTTTCACTTTGAAAAATGGACTTTTCCGATTTACACTTTTTGGGTGATTTTTTCTTGTAGAGGACATAAAAGTAGATAGAAATGCCAAATTTCAGGTCATTTGGTGCTGATTTCGCGATTCTAGAGCTGTTTGAAGTTGAAAACTAGTGAAAATTCTGGTTTTTTCATACCATGTTTGAACCGGGAAATATCTTAACTGGTTTAAGATATTGCAAAACGGTTTTCAGTTCCTATTAGTAGTATATAAGAGCTTTATTTTGACATATAACAAAGTTTAGGTTCTGAATGTTTTCGTGCCATTATGGTAGAACATATGTGAAAATTTCAGGAAAATTATCTTCAAACAAGCCGCAACTATCATAAATGAAGAGTTTCCAGGCAAGTAAAAACGCAGTTTTGTAGCCCCATATATCTAGTTTTCAAAACTGTATAAACTTTGAAAAAGTAAGCTAACGTAATTGAGTTATGTTGATTTTAGTAGGTCGTTGAGTATTTGGCCAAAAACTAATAATTCTTTTAAAAATACGAAAACATAGTTTTAAAAATAGTTTTTTGGTGTTTTCTTATGAAAAATAACAATTTAAATGATTTTGTGAAGAAAATTTTTCAAAAACTTCAAAATCTTTCGAGATATAGGGGGTATGTGCTCTCCATCGATTTGGCCATTTGTCACCCTACTTAAACCACTATAACTTTTTTTTGAAAAAATATTTTTTAATTCTGTTTTCGGATTATTGTAGCCTAATGTAATACCTGCATGATCTCTTAATGCATTATTCCAATTTGACTGATTACAAAACATTTTTGACTTTGACTTCAGCTTGTTTAATTTATTAATTAAACTTGGTTTCTGTGATTCCGCTAATTCTCTCCCATGAATTTCTTCTATTACTGCCAAACAGTACGTGTGCTGTGTTGCAAGATTTAACGTTTTGTCGCGAAGAATTTCACAGAGTGTTTTCTTCGTAAGTGTTGAATTTTGGTTCATTTTTGAAAGTGACTTGTTCAATGAAGTTCAAAACTGATATGATGTGTAGAGAGAATTTCACGAGTATATATATAAAATAGTTTCAAAACTGAGATTTTCACACCTGATAGTGACTACCAAGGGTACTTTACAAAGTTGTTAACTAGGGAAGTAAAAAGTTTCTAAATTTAATTTTTTGGCTTTATAATCTCATAAATGTCATAAATAAACATAAAAAAGTTCTAAAAAAATACTCGAGATTGCTTAAAAGTGGTATTTTTGAAAATGCAATTTTTGGGAATATTTCAAAAACTGCGTATGTCACAATCAACAGCCCTATAAATAACCAGGACTAAGTTAACTAGCAAGTATTATATATCGTTGGATAGGTATTACATTAGGCTACAATAATCCGAAAACAGAATTAAAAAATATTTTTTCAAAAAAAAGTTATAGTGGTTTAAGTAGGGTGACAAATGGCCAAATCGATGGAGAGCACATACCCCCTATATCTCGAAAGATTTTGAAGTTTTTGAAAAATTTTCTTCACAAAATCATTTAAATTGTTATTTTTCATAAGAAAACACCAAAAAACTATTTTTAAAACTATGTTTTCGTATTTTTAAAAGAATTATTAGTTTTTGGCCAAATACTCAACGACCTACTAAAATCAACATAACTCAATTACGTTAGCTTACTTTTTCAAAGTTTATACAGTTTTGAAAACTAGATATATGGGGCTACAAAACTGCGTTTTTACTTGCCTGGAAACTCTTCATTTATGATAGTTGCGGCTTGTTTGAAGATAATTTTCCTGAAATTTTCACATATGTTCTACCATAATGGCACGAAAACATTCAGAACCTAAACTTTGTTATATGTCAAAATAAAGCTCTTATATACTACTAATAGGAACTGAAAACCGTTTTGCAATATCTTAAACCAGTTAAGATATTTCCCGGTTCAAACATGGTATGAAAAAACCAGAATTTTCACTAGTTTTCAACTTCAAACAGCTCTAGAATCGCGAAATCAGCACCAAATGACCTGAAATTTGGCATTTCTATCTACTTTTATGTCCTCTACAAGAAAAAATCACCCAAAAAGTGTAAATCGGAAAAGTCCATTTTTCAAAGTGAAAGTCCCTTTTTTTTTCATTTTGCCCCATAAAATTTTGATAATCCACAAAAATGTCTCTTTTTGAGTAACTGCACCAATTAAGATCAAAAGAATGTCAAATCAACAAGTCATAAAAATCTAACATATGAGTCCGACTCAACAACGACTTGACAGCCTTTTATGTATATTTTATATAAAGTTCAGTGAAATTGCGGCAGCAACAAAAAATTCTTTTAAATTCATGGTCGCATTTAATTTTAATTCTATATCCATTATGCATGACAAAGGTCATTTAATGGAAATTCTATGTCAATCAGCTATCTCCTCATAAAAATATTGTGTACGCATTTAAAACTGTTGAAATACATGCCAAAAAAAAAGCTTTTCACGTGTCACAAAAAGTGTTGAACAAAATTTTTTTTATCTGTCTCCAACTGAGCACAATTCAATGTTTTTAGGTCGCAAATTATAATAATTATTGTAATTCATGTAGAATATTATTGCAACTGACTGGTCTAATAATTTTTTTTTCATTCTCAACCTTGAAATGTTTCAAATTGAACAATTTTTCATAGCAATATATCTGTC